AAAATCTTTTTCATTTCCCCGAAGGCAGATCTGAAGACTCCACATGCTCCAGCACCTGCGACCTGGTCGATTATCACATTCCCGTCTGATTGTGTTTTGCATAAGCAGTAGCTTGCTCTCTTCATACAGTCTGCGAAGTTATGATCGGCTTCTCTACACATAAAACACCCAATCAATTTAACATCTGTGTTATAGTCTTATTCTAATATGGTCGTAACCGAGGCATCGATAATACATCATGACCATGAATTTCTTTTTAATCAGGCAGCTTATAGAACCTACTTTAATGCACGACAATTTATTTAGCCTGTTTTCTTCATTTGGTTTATTGACAACAACAGAGAGCTTCATTCCTCTGTGTTTGGATATTTGGACAGTCATCTTTCTACATCCTGTAGTGGGATTACGAATAGCGCTAGTCGCTATTTAGAGTTAAAAACTTATATATTTTTAGTGAAATTTGTTTTAAATGATGTTTGAAATAAAATAGGTTTGACAATTTCTTCAGAATAGGGCGCATGTAGCTCACTGCATGTCATAAAAGGCAACTAAAAGGGGTGCGGAGGGTTGTACCCATCTAGCTAAGTACCGCTTCGACGGAGACGCTGAGATGGAACATTACCGATGATGTATGAACGCACTACTCCTGCCAAGTGTTCACCATGTGAAATGGGACCCTCCCCGTGCAAGGTGGCCGTGGAAGTCTGACCGGAGAACTTGTCTTCCCGTATCCCATCGCGTGTCGTACGAGGCGACTAAAGAGGGAAATTTGAACGCAGTACGCCTCCTCGTCCGGAGGCAGGGTGAGACCGTTGTGGTTTCAGACTGCGGTCTGACACTTCGGTCTGGGAGCGGATGTTCCACGTGGTCCTCGTTGGAAGTGCAGGATTCTTGTCCTCGCTAACTCACGCCCACTCCTGTTGAGGTGTTATCGGGTCCAAGATGAATGTTACTAACCGTTCCGCCATTTCATTGGGCACCCTATTGTATGAGTGTGTGTGACCTACCAGACCATCGGTGGGTGGAGCTCAGCTCGGAGACGGAACCTCCACGAGGTCCCCGCTGGGTACTTTGATTCCCTTCTTCCGCTTAAGTTCTACTTGTACGGGCGAAGGGAATCAATGCTAACCGTCTCCTCTTGGAAGGGCACCCGGTCTTCTTCGCCGTTTTGGTTCTTAAGGACCTTACAACGGCAATTTTTCCCTCCTCTTTCCCTATGGTGCTTCGGTAGCGAGGCGGCTTGCCAAATCGCCGTCGTTTCAACATGTCGGTAGTTCTTTCGTTAGGGGGTAAATATGCTTATTTTAAGATCGGGAGTTATAGTCCTTAAGGACCCACGCATCCCAGTCGGCCTTGAGCACGACGATAAGCACAATTCAGTTTCTTCAAAACTTAAACTGCAAGATAGTAGTTCAAAAGAGAATATAAACCAAACCCCACTAGATAAGACCTTTGACATAGAATTCATGTCAATTTTTTAGAAGTTTTTATCTACGTAGTAAACCAATACGACATGAAGGTGGAAACAATTCTCTAACTTCATTTTTGCCAACTGTTGCTTTCAAATAAAATAATTTGTAAAAAATTATTTGATTAAACATTTTGTTTATTCAAACTGCTACCTCTCAATAAACTAAGAAAGCTCGATATATTGCTCCTTCTTGTACTTTCATTCATTACAATTTTCTGTAGTATTTTAAATACTCCTTCATCTTCGTCTACAATAATACTCAAAACGTTTAATGCCGTTTTACCCTCCAGCATCCATGGGCTGTCATTGCCCTTTGATAAGAACTGTTAAAAATATTCACTGATTATTAAATTATGACTATTTTATTAAAACAATGCACTGACGATTTTTAATAATAATCATAATAAGAAATAATTTATATGAACGAATCAAAAAATGATAAAAAAGTAAAATGTAGTATTTTGACACGCACGTCGGTGCCCCTTTCATCGCCACTAGCCTTTTATCCAATTTCAGACCTGTCAGTCAACAACAAGTCGAGCGAACAATAGAGTCGTTGCTTTAAAAATCGTCCGTGAATTGTTTTAATAAAATAGTTATAATTCAATAACCAGTGAATATTTTTAAGTTTTCATGGGCTTATTTTAAAGATAAAATTTTAAGCTTTCATTTGTATTAAATTCTATTTTTTTTATATACTTGTCTAAAAATTGCATCCTACGATAATTCTGAAAGAAGTTAACATGTTTTAAAAGCGTTCGTGTTTTCAATAGTATGTACTGTTTTAAGTGGTCGCACAATTTTGACCGGTAATGCAGGTATGACTTCAAACTGTCTTTTACAATTTTACAGAATATTCACGATGGATCTAAATCAATTTTGAATCAAAGCTAGTATAAAACATAAATTTTTTTTCACGTATGGGTTATTTAAGTCATAAATAGTTTAGATAAATTTTATAGCCCATAACTTGTCGAGTCATTTTTAAAAAACCTTTTTCTTAAAAAAAATATTTTATTTTTTTAAAACTTTGGTAATAATAAAATTTCTATTTTTGTATAAATATAAATGTAATGAAAACGATAATTTACACTCCTGACCCATTGTGGCTAATGTCTTAGTATAGTAGTATAAGTCAGTTTTAAGTCATACTTAATATTATCGAATTCTTGTTATTCTTGTTATGGATTTAGTAATAAAGGTTATTTTCTTATTTGTTCCTTTTAAATTTTTAATTTCGTATTACAAAATAAAATTTTACTAGGGGAATGTATCCATGATACACTTTTCTGTTTTTTATGAAACCAAAGGCGAAAAGAAAGACAAGTTTTTAATGTCGAATATTAGTATAATTATAAGTCGAAACGAAAAACTACATCATATCTTTAAAATTAATATTACAATACTCATTATTTAAATTCATTTATTCAATGTTAGTTGTTTAATAATTAATATTAATTAATTTTATATATTTTTAAGTATAATACATTGATTAATATATAATAATGATGTTGAGCAGTAATAAAATTTCTTTAATTTTTATTTTAATTGTTAAATTATTATTTAAAATTATTATATCTATTATTTAATTATCATTTTATTTCAAGGTACATTTTTTAAAAATAATTTAATTTTTAAATTAAAAATTCATATTTATATAATACCTAATATAATTTATATAATAATTTATATACATATAGTATAATTTATAAATATGCATGAAATTAAATAATTTGTATTAAATCTTAAATATCTGGTTATGATGTTGAAATTGATTATATCTTTTCATATTTTCTCGACTATATAACGTAGAGGAGACCGGGGTTACTTGGCGCACTTTTCACTCTTTATATATAAGACCTTGGGAATATTATAAATCCATTATTCAGTTAAACTTTTTGAAAAGGATTGTTATTGGTACTTATTAATTAATGTATAAATTTCATATAATTCAACTTCATTTAATCATTTCTTAAATATTTAACGAAATTTTTAGATGCAAAGTTATATGACATATAAGTTTTACTTTGTTTAGAAATAAAAAAATTATAAATTATTATTATATTTATAAGAAAGTGATACATACCTACTTATAAAATATAACATTTAATTTAAACTTTTTGAGATCTTTTCTGGTAGTTGAAACATTTTCTAAAACTAAATTATTTTCTTTTACATTCGTGACAAATAAAAAATTTATTTTGATCTTTTATATAACATACGTATATGTATGTATAATAACATAAATATCAACTTAACACTTTTGAATAAACTTAAGTTTGCCAAACATCTCTGGTCTTCCGTAAACGTAAAGACTATTTAAAATTTTTTTTTCTATAACTTACTATTTTTGTCTCAAAAATTATGTTTGTTAAAAATCTATAAAATATTCTTGCCTTTTATTTTTTATTTAACCTCGTTGGATGCAACTAGTAGCGCAAATAATTAAATAACAAAAAGCTTTTAGTTTCGCATTGAAAAGAGCACGAGATTTAAATTTAAATTGAATAAATAATAATAAATGGAACATAAATAGTTCTAAGCCAAGAACTACCAACTAAATTGAGTTAAATCGAAAATTATTTATAATATCTTTTTATTTATATTTTTACTTTATACTTTTCCATGACTTTATTTGTAATGATAATATTATTTCTTAAACCACGACGTTTTGATACATCAAAAAGAAAAACAGAGTTTAAATCTTGAAATTATTAAGAAATTTTAATATAAAGATTAAAAAGAGAAATTATCAATTCCAATAAATCAAAATTTGAGTGTTTAAAATAATTTATATCTCAATTTATTCATTTTTTGATAAAAGAAACTTGAGTTCGTGAATTTTAGAATAAATCTAAAATCGGGTTTATTTCAAATTTTAATTAAAGAATATGATTCTTATCTTGATGTATAAAGAAAACAATTTTATTTAACCTATTTTATAATTTTAAATGGATCATTCTCCGTACTCTCTCTCAGCTGGAGATAAATGAATTATTATCTCTTCTAAATATCCCTTTTAATTATTTTCCTTAACTTTAGAAATAAACTCTAGTAGCAAGCAGCTCAAACAAACATTTAATTATAAATTCATGAGGAAATAAATTGAACAGAAAAATGTAACAACTCGTAACTATTTCTTCCATCCAATTCCTTGAGATTTTCGTAAATCGTCTTCTCTTGAAAGCCGCATGTGCAATATCTATATATGTATAAGGAATAATAATGTCATAGAATTGGAAAAATATCCAATTCAAGTCGGTCGATGACGATATTCGAAGCCGGGAAGGCTAGTGTCAGGTTCGTGAGCGGACTTTTGAGGGTATGACGGTGGCGTGCAAAATATATAGCCGAATCTTCTTGTGTCCCGCTTTCACGATGAGGTTCGCTCCTCTTCTTTGGGATACATACATACACGTTTAAAATGTCATTTTATGCTCAGCAACTGCATACATATATAATATCAATGCACAGCAGTCGTTCAAATAAAGTCTTAAAGTGAAATTTTTTTTTCAATTTTCTTTTTCAGAAGAGGAAAAACCAGCGGCCATGCACGGTGGCGACAGGAGAAACTTGAGTCCAGCAATTTTGGCGAGCAACTTTCTTGTGTCATTCTTGGCGGCTGTCAGCTGGAGGATACCAACTTTTACGAGCCTCTATCCTACGTGAAAAGTGTGTGTCGTGAAAAAAACTTGAACGAACCCGGGATACAAGCCATTTTAAATCTCTATATAAGAAAACGTCCCTCGGGTTTGTTGTTTGTTTGTTTTTTTTTTTAAGTCCCTCGGGTCTCAAGGACCCTCGAAAGAGAGTTTACTGGCTATCCCAAAGTACCATACCGAGACGCTCAGAACAGTGTTCAACTTTGGTATTCTCGTTTCTTGGATCCCTTATATAAAGTTTATTTTTTAAGACAAAGAAGAAAAAACTCAATAGAGAGAGAATAGTGAACTTGAATATATTAAACATGTGTTGAAGAATTCTTGGTCCTTGATTCGGAATTGATTGGTCTTTTGGGATGAAATTGGTATACATATATAAAAACTGTATTATTACAAAACAACAAAGTGAGGAAGAATGGCTTGTGTGCCTCTTCGTGTACTTGTAAATAATTCCGCACGCTCTCACCAAAGTGAAGCCTTTGAAAAAAAAAGCTGTACAGTTCGCATGATTTAATGTGTATATTATTAATTTTTAATATTGAAGTGAAAAAAAACACCGTTTCGTCGTGTCGAGTGGAACGTTATATATATATATATATATATATATATATAAATATATATTTCTCTTCCGCGCTCTTCTTCTCTCGTAAATAGAAAACAAAACTTTTAAGCTACCCCTGTAAGAAGTTCGTCTCTTATAAGATACGTGTAATTGGAACGAATATTTTGCTCGGCGACACTTTAACGACGATGCCACTAAACTTCTCCGCGCGCGTTGCTCCACTAATTTTTCCCAAGACTAGGTGTCTATGGAGGAATACTGTATTCTGAAAACGCCATTAGTGCGAACAAAAGATATAGAACCAGACGAATATATACATATATTCTACTAAGAGAGAGAGAGTGAGAGGAAAAATTATCTCTTAAACATTTAACGAGTCAGTGCTCATTAAAGAATTATTGATTTTTTCTTTTATAAAGCAAGAGATTTGCTAATAAAGCAATATTTTAAAAAATTCTTTTTATATATACTTCAATCCAACTTGCTAATATTAAATTACTAATTATTTAAAAATTTTAACATTACACTGAGAAAACTAGAGGTTCAAATTCAGACGTTCAAAAAGTGAATGTTTTCCTTTCCTTTTCCTTTATTAAGAGAGTTTAATAGTCCTTCTAGAATGATTTTAGAATTGGTAAAAGAAATCTGCTTGTATATTCTGTTTTATTATATTAAGAGGGTTAAAAGCTGCGCAGAAAGTGTGAACTAGCTGATGCGCGCGAACATATTTGTTTCTTAATCGAATAGACGGAATTTTGGGGTTAGTTTGCCATATTTATTCGTTCCGCGCACGATAAGGAAGGGATTTCTCAAGATTGATAATTTGTCCCTCTGCTATAAACTCATTTTCTCTCCAGGAGAAATGGCTTAAATATCTGTGAATGTTGTATTTCAATATTTAGATTGTTTTCCAATCGCTAACTCTCAAATATAAACTCTTTATCCCTCCAAATGTTTTTTTTAAACCTCTAGTTTTCTCAGTATAGGTAAAAATACATATTATTTGCAAATAAATTTTTATTAAATTTTCCAAATTGAATGAATCAGATTTTTTCAATTCATTTTTAAAAAAGTTTAAAAACAAAAGTTGAATGAAATTTCTACGCCGGCATACATGATGTTGTCTTGTTAATAATTTTTAATTTTTAATTTAAAGTTGCAGTGAAATAGAATAGATATAGAAATTGAAATAGAATTTGTCCTTTCTGAATACATATTTATTTCAAAAGTTGTCTAAATTATTAAATAAGTCATTTGAAAATATTCTCTTTCTAATAATAATTACATATAAAATTTTTAAACAAATGTATATATATATATATATATATATATATATATATATATATATATATACATTTGTTTACACATTTTATATAGAAAAAAGTACTTTTTCAAAATTGTCATTGTATAAATTTATTATTTTAAAATATTAAAAAGAAGAATCTCTTTTGTACGTATTTAAATACTTTAAAACTAGCACATTGCAAATTATAAGAAAATATTTTTAAAAATATTGTTTTGTCAAATTGCAAAAAATAAAAGATAAATATTTGTTTTTTCACATAAAATATTTCATTTCATTTGGGATTAAATGTTAGACTCGTGATTAAAGTAATGGATATGTAAATATCCAGCCCGAATTCAAATGCCAATAGAGTTCTGAAGTATGTTCTTAGCACCAACTGGTGGTAAAAATTTTAAATAAGTAAGTACATATCTTGTTGTATTGAATATAATTTGTCTTGATCAAATTTAATTAATTAATGATTTAATCAAGATTATTGTTATTAAGTTAATACAGTAACACTAACACTAATATGTACATAAATCTATTCGACTACTATTTATTGTTACTCAAATATTATTATAATGTATGAATGATTTTACCTACCTCAACTTTAACACTATAAAAAACTAGTATTATTTTTTTTTACTTTCCATACCCGGTGTTTTTCTTAAAACAGTTCCAGAAATAAACTTAATTTTTCATCAATTAGTTCAATCACATTACTAACGTGAATTACTTTTTAGTGATCCGTCACCTTTTGCAAGGCTTTCTTTTCTAAATATAGAAATCTCCAATTTTTGAAATCCGCTTTTGACTGTAATAGACATTTTTTTCACGGATATTAACAATAGTTTGGAAAATTCTTGTTTATAAATTAACATTTGGCACGATATGTGTACAATTGTCAGATATTATATAGATACTTCAGAACTCTATAGGAGATTCAATATAATAATAATTAATTAATAACTAATTGTTAAGGATATAATTTATTTTCTTTCTTTCTCTCTGTTTTTTTTAAATATTATATTCTTTAGAAAAATTGTCAGCGAAATAATTATGATGTAACCCCTTTCTTTTTTGTAACAGTCTTCGTCTATACGTAATAATTATTATCGGCGACGAAGGGAAGCCCTTCGAGAAGTCTGTAATCCGTCGATAAAATCCGAGAGAAAGAGAATCCCTCTCTTTAAATTGGGCCGGAAAAAGGGGTGCACGGAACTCCCACAGTGGTTGCGCCTACAATTTTCAACACCCTTCATAAAGCACCACCGATCCGGAAATAACTTTTTCCGTTCGGTCGATAATCGTGATAAAAGCACGCGGAGGATGACAGTGTGCGTCAGATTATTTCATTTTCTATATAATTCTCAAAGTTCGACTGCGATTGGACAATTATTGTCTATAAAAATTAAATATAGACAAATGTGAATGTGTATGTGAGTTTATTTTTGTGTTTTGAGCGTATGTGTGTGAGTGTGTGTATGTATAAGTGGAATGAATGCACTCATTGACATTATGCATGTATTAATTGTTCTTGATAAATGGATTCAATGTACATAAAGTTCAAGACATATAATGATGACAGTTAAAAGTCAATAAACCATTAATCGTGATCTAATCAATATTTTATTCATACTGTAATATTCTTTTGAATAAATCGTGGAGTAAGGGGCCAAATGTTGATAAGTCCATTTTCTAAAAAACTTTCACTTTTTCCATTTTCCGTGAATGGTAATTGAATAAACTTCAAAAAAATCAGTTTCATTAAAAAAATTGTTAATTTAGAATTATATTAATTTAAAAATATTTGGAATTAACAAAAAAAATTTTTAATTTTAGTTTTTTTAACTAGAAAAATACTCAGATCTTTGAAATTCATTATTTATGATCCACTTTAATTAATAATAAGACTTCTAAGTCCAAAAAAATATTCTTGTATAATTAAATCAATATATTTTATCTACTTTCAAGTTAACTTTAATGGTTATGTGTCAAATTGCATTTGTTATTTCTTGAAATAGTAAACAATGGACTTATCCACTTTTGGACGCTAACTCCTCAATCTTACATGTGTACATAAATTATACATCAAGGTAAGTGAATTATAATTCTAATTTTATTACAATATTCCTAATGCTTTAAATAATAAAATATAGTTCCATTTGGTTTGAATAATTGCAGTCTTTATTTAAAAATAAATATTATATAAAGACGGAGATTTCATATTTGTCATTAATAATAATTATTAATGCAAGAAATTATTTTCATTAAGGTCGAAACTGATAAATGAATTAACGGAGGATGAACTAAATAGATAAAAATATCTCAATAAATAATGAAACTAGATGGGAATGAGAAACTAATATTATATATTAAGTTACACTTAAAAAATCTTTTTCTTTTCCAGATTTTAAATACGTACTGTAACGTAGATTTTAATTTATTATTGATTTTATTTTAAATTTGAATTATTTATTATTATATTTTCAAGACAATCCACGGTATCTACACTTTTTAATTATTTATTTGCCAAGACGCCAAGTTCTTTTATGGAAAATAACTAAACCTAAAATATAGTTAAATAACCTGACAAGTAAATTTTATAATTCTATTTAAGAAAAACTAAAACCAGCTCATGAATTCTATTGTTATTTTACAGCAACAATAGACCGCGGTGAGGGTGGGGGATAAGGATAAACACTATTAATTAAAAAAAATTTATAACAGTAAAAATTATTTTTTCTTGATTTAATGAGATATATGAGATTGATTATTGAATTTTACGTCATTCGTTATTTCATTTATGAGGCAAAATTCCTGAAATGTCCGAACAAAAAATTAAAAGTTCTCGAATTTAATCCATACTTTTCTAAAATGTTGTTATTGTTGGTGAAAGTCTAAAAATCAATTATTATTGAATTTAATAAAATAGTTTTTGAATTACAACGTTTTTAATTTTTGACTTTTGAAAAAAAAAATTTTTTTTCAATGTACAATATTTATAAGTAGAATGCATAAAAGTTAACATATATATAATGATTTTTAAAGCTTTTTTGACGAGCTACACGCTGTTAATAATATTTTTTTTTTTTAAATAACATTTGACCTTGAAATTCAAGGTCAAAATGTTAATTTACGTTTATCTCAGAATCGGATTTTTTAAAATTATTTTTAACTATCTCAATGGAAAGCTTGACTAATTTCCTACAAAACATGTAATTTTCAGAGTGGGATCTTTTAAAGTTTTTGAGATATTAATTAATTAATTAATTAATGTTTATAACAAATGAAATATTTTACAAACGAATAAAGTTACCGTAATTCTGAAGTTAGTAATTGAAAGTTAATGTAATTCCGCATCCAACGAGCCCTATATGAAGTATTTTGGATAAGTAGATTGTTAAAAAACAATTAGTTAACATTGCAATTGTTTATTAACAATCTACTCATCCAAAATACTTCATATAGGGCTCGTTGGATGCGGAATTAGCTTAACTTTCAATTGGTTAGTTTAGATTTACGATAACTTTATTTGTTTGTAAGATATTTCATTTTTTATTGTTATTTAACTAAAATTGAACAAAAATACTGCATATAGGGCATTTGGATGCTTGTTGTTAGTAAAAAATAAAATATTTTACAAACAAATAAAGTTATCGTAAATCTAAACTAACCAATTGAAAGTTAAGCTAATTCCGCATCCAACGAGCCCTATATGAAGTATTTTGGATGAGTAGATTGTTAATAAACAATTGCAATGTTAACTAATTGTTTATTAACAATCTACTTATCCAAAATACTTCATATAGGGCTCGTTGGATGCGGAATTACATTAACTTTCAATTACTAACTTCAGAATTACGGTAACTTTATTCGTTTGTAAAATATTTCATTTGTTATAAACATTAATTAATTAATTAATTAATTAATTAATATCTCAAAAACTTTAAAAGATCCCACTCTGAAAATTACATGTTTTGTAGGAAATTAGTCAAGCTTTCCATTGAGATAGTTAAAAATAATTTTAAAAAATCCGATTCTGAGATAAACGTAAATTAACATTTTGACCTTGAATTTCAAGGTCAAATGTTATTTAAAAAAAAAAAATATTATTAACAGCGTGTAGCTCGTCAAAAAAGCTTTAAAAATCATTATATATATGTTAACTTTTATGCATTCTACTTATAAATATTGTACATTGAAAAAAATTTTTTTTTTCAAAAGTCAAAAATTAAAAACGTTGTAATTCAAAAACTATTTTATTAAATTCAATAATAATTGATTTTTAGACTTTCACCAACAATAACAACATTTTAGAAAAGTATGGATTAAATTCGAGAACTTTTAATTTTTTGTTCGGACATTTCAGGAATTTTGCCTCATATATTTCTATTCGTTTGGTAGCTAAGCGAATAGCACTATCAAGCGATTTATTATCTCTTAATCTGTTTCTTCGCCTATCTCTTATAATTTTCATTATTGAAAATGCACCATCACAAATGTATGTTGAACCGAATATAGAATACATTTTTAGACAAAAATCTTGTAAATTATGATATTTTTCTTTGTCTAAATTTTTAAAAAATTCTTCTGGTCGATCTCCCACTTCTTTTGGGACGAATAAATCCGAGCGTAAATCGCATAATTCTAATTCGGGTCTTTGCTTTTCTATTTCTGCAGTTAGTGGATTTGCAAATAAATGAATATCAGTCGTTATGTTATTGAAATTTTTGAATCGATAATTAAATTCAGCCAACACCCCTTGTAAAAAAGGCAAAAATATATTAAAGTTAAAGATAGGAAATTGTAAAATTTCTGCACAACTCAGAAAATGGATAAGATAGTTTGTCGAAATGTTTCTTTAAAAAAAACCAATTTTTTCAAATTAAGCTCA